CTTGTCAAGTATAATCATATCATGCTCCTTGACAATTTGCTGCATGGTCACTCCCGCGAACTCGTCAAACGAGTCCAGCTGCTGCGACACAAGGCCCTTGTCGGCGAAGAAAGACGAAATCACCGTCCAGCAATCCTCTGACGTGATGGTCGGCGACACCCCCTCCTCCTCTTCCATCATCATTTCGTCGTCTGTTTGCGACATTTTGCCAACCGTTGCCGTTGTGGGTTTTGCGCGTGGCGGTGTTGGCGTGTCGTTGGAAGCCCGACGTTGGAATGCGCCAAAAGGTTTGGCGCCGGGCCGGCCCGACCATCCCCGCGTCAGGGTCCCGAACGTCGCCCCACGTTTGAGAATCACGCAACTTGTGATGTACGGTGACAGCGTTGCATCGCTTTGATAGAACCTGTCGTCTTTCCCTCGATAACGACGCAGAAGTAGTGACCGTCTCAGTCACGCCCACTGCGGGATCTTGAGACTCATCAGTCTCGACAGCTAGCCTACTTAGTACCCAATAATACAACGTTGACAGTCGGCAGCGACAGACCCAAAGATTTGCAGTCAAAGTTGACGATTACTTAAGAGTGACCAAACATTCATGACCATGTGCCCATCAACTTCCCTTAGTCTTGTGGAGTGTTTTGCCCTGGTGCGGCCGTTGACAGCCACCCCACTTGGCGCAACCGACCCATGACGTCGCTGGAGCACAACAGCACAATGTCGGCGAACTCCACGGTACCAAATCGCGGACCGAGTGTTCTGGTAAGCTGGTCTGCGTTCTCATAAGATCCCAGGCTTACGGTGAAGGTCACGGATGCGCGCGAATCGTGGCAGAAGAAGGCAGCTGCTCCGAACCCGGCTAACACCTCGCGGCTCACGGTGGACAGCGTGCTGCAGTATGCCACCGACATACCCTCAGCACAGCGGCGGGGAGCCCCGACGATGCGGCCGCAGCTTCGGGCCCGACAACCGAGCGGTCCCGTGCGAGGACCAACAAGTCGACCAGCCAGTGGCCCGGCAGCCACCACGGGGGCGGCGAACCTGCCAGCGCGAACCAGCAAGACCAGCGAGAAGCTTGTACTGCTGCCGGAGACGGCCGAGGAGACCGAAAGCGATGGTGACGATTCCGACGCGGACGAGGAGCGCGGTCCGCCAACGGACGAGACGTTGAATAGGAGACGGCAGGCATCAGCTAACCGCAGGGGGAAGAGCACGGCAGAGCGACTGCCCAAGAGCCTACGAATAGCGGACGCACATCTGGCGCGCGTCACGGCCTACTGCACATCGCAATCGCACTGGCTTGAGGCCACGGCGCGCTTCGTCAAGGAGCAGCACGGCGCGCGCACCAAGCTTTACGACGACTGTCTCTACTGCGTCTACCAGCTGCCACTGCTGGGCGGCAATGATGGCTACCGCGTGCGCAGCAGTCCTGCCGTCCGCAGCGCCGGTGGCCGTAGCGTGCTGGACGAGCAGATTGAAGCCAACGAGCGGCGCGAGTACCGCGAGGGCTGGCATGAGGAGAGCGATGAATATTCTGTGCCAAACGAGTCCGGCGGGGAGAGCAAGGAAAGCGACACGCGCCGAGAAGACCTGGTCAGAGAGTGGAAAAGCAGACAAACGCACCAACCAGCAGCTAGAGACGGCAGGATGGTGGCCGAGATGTTTGTGTTCAAATACGGCGTCGTTGTTCTTTGGCATTTTTCCCTCAACCAAGAGAAAGACATTCTCGCCGACCTGACCTTTTCAACCATAGCCCACGTCCAGCCCGGCGCACGCAGTCGTGCATTGGCTACCCAGCGCAGCCTTATGCGCCATCCGCTCGAAGAAGACGAGTTTGAAACGGAAGAGTTCCACTTCGAATACGACGCCTCGTGCGAGAAGCCGCGCATCTTCAACGATATGATCACCCTCCGTACATCAGACCATATGATCAAGCTGGCCATGTCGCATGCCATTGCCCAGAGCACAAAGCTCAACTATTTCGAAGAGCGCATGCAGCGCACCATGGCCGAGGCGCAATGGGTCCCTAAACACCTAGCCCTGCAGGGCAAACTGGGCATGTCCAGGAAGGAAGTCGTGGCGCTTGTAGGTCGATTGTTTGAAGGCAGAGTTGATGTCAATCTCTGTAAGTTTGCTAACAAAGTACTCACGGGAGCATGCTGACTTGAATGGCAAATAGCATCAAACATGCTTGACACACCGACATTTCTTTGGGACAGCGAGCCAATGCTTCATCCCCTCTACGCGGCGGTGAGGGAATACCTTGAGATCAAACCCAGGATCCAGGTGCTCAACGAACGATGTCGTGTCTTCCTCGACCTCGCTGAGATGCTGTCGGATTCAATTGCCGACACCAAGATGACCCGCATCACGTGGATTATCATATTCCTCATTGTTCTGTCTATTTTAGTTACTGTTGGGGAGAGCGTCCTCAGGTTTGGCATGTTGGCTTCTGGGAAGGCGGCAAATGGGAGTCGGGATCAGTTTTAGCGATTGTACTGTACACATCAACTAGTCAGGCGTAGATGGATCGAGGAGCCATCCTCAAAGGCTGCTGGCCACATCAAAAACTGGAGGATTCCATACTATTCATGTGAATGTACATACACCCCCTATCATATTACGACCAAGACGTCCAGCCAAGGAGAAATTCCCAACAGCCATAAATCTTTGGCGTAACCAGGGCAAGAGATGCCGCCAAGGCCGATTGACAACCTTCCAACTTCCAATGCACCAAATTTCCAGAAGTTAAGGCTATAATCACACATCTGACGGCGGCTGTCCGACGAGTCCATCCATTATGAGTCCTTTTCCCCGATGACAGCACTCACACATTTGATCAGAAGACCGGGATGTTGCTCTATCCATACATTTGCCACCAACGATTACCTCATATCCATCTGCATCTGTCCTGTCCCTGTTGTCAAATTCCGTCTATCGCTTCGTCCTCTTCGGGGTGCTGCGCACTCCCATCAACAAAAGCCTTATCGCTACTGAGGAGCCAGCTACCTAAGGCTGCTCTTCCAGCCACTGATATCTTATCATCAGGTCATGGCAGACTCTCATTGATCTTCTGCAAAACAACGAGAGTTTGATACTGTTATAACCAATACCCGGGAAGAGATACCCAATAATCCCGCAAATTCGGTTCACATCCTGCCCCTGACATGGGTCTACGTGGTGAATCACGATCCCGCCACAAAAGCACGCCTATGCATCCGTGGTGACCAACAAGAAGAGATATTATTACTCACATACGCCGCAGCCCTGCAAGCCAATGTGTTTCTACCCATGATCTCTGGTCTCTTAACAGTTATCATACGACGCAGTCTCCGCCTTCAACACGGCAAAACTGGACGAGACGGTGTATACTTGTAGGCCACCATGTCATGGAAACGTGGAGGAACCCAATATGGAGTTGCTTCTATGGGTGGATGTGGATGATCAAGGGATGGGGCCGCTGGGAGGCCACGCCGGAGCTTGCACGACGGTTGAGGCTGGACCTAAACTGGGGCCGGGCGGAGCCATCATGCGCAAGACCAAGCTGCACCATCCGGGATATCTACCAACATGGGCGGATGCGTTTAGACCCACACTGGCTGCATCACGGTGTTCTGGCATGTTGGTGATGTGAATTTCATGTTTCATCCATCCGACAGGAATTTATGGCCAGCATCACCCGGTTGCGTACCAAGGAAGGAGGGGTGGACCTTCCTCTCCGGCCAAGACGGGGACTGCCTGCTATGGCTTGCGAATCAAGCAGGATACATTGGAGGAGCGATCAGCGATCCTAAGGGTTCATATGGTTCTGGACCTAGCAGGTCCAACTCGTGCGAGGGATATTGATCAAAAAAGACGCAGTACCTGCGGAAAATCGGACCGGCATTATACGCGGCATGCTTCACATGTCCAGACATCGCGTTTGCAGTTTCACACCTACCGTCGTGGGGGGGGGGGGCAAGGCGTACTCGGACGAAGCAAAGGAAGATATGCTGGGGTTTTGTATGGCCGTATATCGCTTCATCGATCGATGCCTTGCGATGGTCGGGTCATCTGATTCGCAAGTTCTGCAAACATGGCGCCAAAAGCCGTATAGGGACTTACAAACCCGTCGCTGAGCGGGACGTTGTTACCAGCTTCAAAAGAAACTCCCTCGACAGGAAAAGTCATTGGTAATACGTTCTGACGCTGTATAGCTCGCCCATGTCGGAAGCAAGGTACAGCCACTACGTCAAGCACGGAGGCAGGATTCCTTGCCACCTCTGCCGGGGCTACGACGAGGTGATCCCAAAGCTTAATGAAGTTGCAAACTGCTCACCGACAACCTGATGACCAAGCATCTCTCACATTCAAAAGTACGTGTTTCACAAGACCGAAGTTAAGTACTTGGGGGTGTACATTGGCACATCCGGGATCAGGATGGATTGCACTAAAGTTCTGGCAGTGGTTTCTTGGGAGCATACCTGCTGTACCAAGTACATCCTCCGCCTTACCATCACAGTAAGCCAGCTTCATCTGCTCATCGCTTGTCAACCGCCAATGCCCGACGACATCCCTCTCGTCCACCGTTTAGAGGCTTCTCCCCATCGCCGTGCGCAGCCTCGCTCGGGCCACATCCATCTCTTAGAGAGCCTTAGAAGTCGAGGTTTCTCAGGGTTTTTACCTCTTTAGGAAGAAGTTTCGATGCACGGTCCCTTTTATGCTTTTTGCGTGCTCAATAGCTGGTCTCAGTGAATACGGCTAGGCCTGGGGTAGAGTGTGGATATATATTCATTCCAAAAACAATGGAGTCGTTGCAAAACAACGGGACATGAAATCCAGCCTTGGCAAAAGCAGGTCAAAGAAGGACCAATGCATTCAAAAAAATTTACATTATATAGCTCAACTCCACACCCATTCCGTATCGCCGCCCAGCCAATCTCGCCGCCTGTGTCAATCAAAAAACGCCTCTCCTTGGAAGGCAGCTTAATAAAATCCAAATCAATCACCAGGAATTGTTATCTGGCAAGATGGCCGAGTGGTTATGGCGTGTGACTCAAGGAACCTCCTTACTCAGCAGCTCAAGCTGAGGAGCATTCTCATGGGCTTTGCCCGCGGGGGTTCGAATCCCCCTCTTGTCATCCATTTTTTGTCCTTCTGTCGGGGTGTCAAAAATATGATCACCAATCGAGACAAGATGAGACCGCCAAATCAGCCTGCGGGTATAAGATGGTGGACGACGAAGGTTTTGTGAAGGATTTTTACGGTTTGGGTACACGCCCTTGTTGTTTTAGCGTCGGAAAGTTCCGCCCCTACCTTTTTGCATTACCGCCTCTGACCCCCTCGTTTGGGTGAAATTCAGAGAAGGTGGATAGGGGGAGGATATCTATGACAATTTGCTGGATAGAGATGATATCTTGGTGATGAGATGGCTGTGGCTAGCGTGATGTGATTGAGGGTTCTCATTAGCCGATGGAGATACCATGTGAGGATGTTGTGAAGGCGACACGTGATTCGATTCCGATCTATCATCGAAGACATGGGTTTGGTGGATTAATGGCACATCGGTGGTGCAGTGCAAGTGACTTGGTCTTGTGAAGGAACTGAGGTAAATTTTTCTAGCAATGTGAAAGCCGATTATCTGGCGGTGGCAGTTGCGTTGGAGGACCTTATAATTGCATATCATCAACGGTGTGGTTTAAGGTACGGAACCAACAGAAAGTGGTGCAAAGGAAAGGTGAAAGAAGAGGATCTATTACCGATCATGCTCGTGATATCTCTCAGTTTGGAGAATAATAACACCCATTGGTTTTGGGAAGCCTCCAATACATCTGGAGAGCAATCTATAGTTGCTTTTGCGATGAAGAGGGTCAATCTGCGTGATGTAAAGGAGGTGTCGGAGGGCTGAACCTCCGAGGACTAGAGCGGAGTGGATGTCAACGACTAAAGTTTTCACTCAACTTTTACTGAAAAAGGTGAAAAATGTAATTGTCTCTCTCTATGAGGTGAGGTTCGAAACTTCCCCCACACTACCTCAGTCTAACCGCATTTGCCAGGACAACGTCAGCGAACCATGCCCTTAAGCATGAACGAGACAATGGCCCGCCTCAGGGAAAACTTCCTCTGTAGAGGTAAAAACCCTGAGAAGTTTCGACTTCTATCTATGGTTCTAATCATGGTGGGTGCTACATCCTTTTGACAGGAGGAAGCAAATGTAGACAACGATGCTTAAACCCTGAGAGCCATGTTCGAGGCTTAGGAGATCGACGTTATATATCTCCGTGACACCATGGCAAAGGATATGGGCAAGATACCCTGCAATATGTCTCACATGTTGTCAGGGTTTGGCAAGAAAAATCGTAAAGCCAAGCTACCCCTGCCCCTTCTCACCAGCAGCCTTGTAAGAATCTGAAAACTCAATAGTCTTTTCATACGCGCCTTACATAACCCCTACCTCGCATTAACCACTGTCGGCCTCGCCTTGCAAATAGTAACACACTCCGCCGCCCTTATCTCCGCCGCAGCCAATCCCTCAAGCAACGGGATAATCGATGCCCGTGGCATCGTCACAGTTGACGAGCTTGTGAAACTCACACCCTCCACATCATTGCCATCTTTCGGCGGCGCCGCAGGCAAACACTCTTTCTTCTCCGCAACACCCGCTGAACCTAACCCCTTCTTCTTCCCAAACAAATCCTGCCCATGCACGTCCATCTCCCGTATCTGTGACGAGCCCTTCCCCTCCATCAAAAAACCCTGCCCCTGCTGCAGCTGACTGAAAACCCTCGTCGTCAAATGACGATCCTTCATCGACGGGTTCATCATAGGCGGAGCTTCCAAGTGCACAAAAGGCTCACTGATCTGAAGGCTGCGCGGCCGCTTGTCTTCCTTGCGTTTGACGATGTGGTTTTTGAAGTTGTTGAGTCGGTCTCGTAGGTTGGCGGTGGAGTGTTTATGCGTGAGTGGCATTGTTGGTGTAAACTGTTTTGTAGAGCTGAGAGGATGGGTGATGGTGGAGACAATGGGGATGTTTTTCTGGTGGGGTGACGTCGTCGTTGGCGTTTGCATCGCTGGCGCTGATGATCTGATTGGAAGGAGGGGCAAGCATGTGATTGATCGTGGGTCACGTGGGGCTTGGCGGTGTACACTGTCGCGTGGGGATGATGCGGCGCGGTGGTGAAGCTGCACCGGATGGGAAGAGAGCGAATGGAGCGGTGAATTAATGCGTTTGTAATGTTGAAGGGTATTGTTTGAATCATTGACGGTCTGTTGTGGCTCTTGGTGCGTTGCGACGAGATGTCCACATCTGACTCAATGTGTGATACGCCAGCTGCTAAGCCTTCCTACCGAATCACTTCACAATTTTTTGATGGAATTTTTATGGGTATCCCTGATGGAATATCATCCAGCTCACATCAGGATATAATGAGAGAAAGCATACATTATCATCTTAACACAAGATGGTAATCACAAGCAGTCGTACTGAAACCTCCTAAGCCTCTACGTTCCATATTCTGCCATCATCATTCCTGCCCAGGGTTTCTGCATATATCGAACCCTGCTCCGAAACCCCCCCCCCCCCTTCCCTACTCATGGCCAGGCCTAAGCTATTGCACACCTAATCGCAAATGCGCTTTCAATCAATCAGCGCATCCAAAGCCGCTATGACATTTCTCCGGCTAGCGACGAGATGCTTGGCCATGTTGTTATGTATTTATTTTATCTTACGCCGCAGGAACTTTGAGCTCCGCCCCAAAGGGGCAGGCGGTCCATCTACCCGTCTATGAACTTCTGTTACCTGCTTCTGCGTTGCACAGTGTCCTACTACAAAATCATGAACCTGGATCTCTACTCACCCAGCCCGGTGACGGGGACGGAATGGCAAAGCCATCCGTGTATGCAAGAGGAGACCTCACGCCGAACGCCAAAAGTGAGAAAAAAAGGGACGGCGAGATCCGGTTCCATCTCAGAGCGGTCGACGATTGCGTGGCTGTCGAAATCTTTTCGAGTTCTCGCAGCCGTCATTGTGGTAGGTTCCCCGGCGTCCATCAATCGACCGCCAATCTGTACTCCTTCAGTTTGCTGAGTGACACCAGCCACCGGACAATTTTCGCAGCGGAATCTTTGTTAGTCAGGTCGATGCGCACCTCCCGCGTGTTGCGGTAACGATGAGGAAGGGGTGATCTGTCTGCAGTTATTCGTGGGCATCCGATCAAGAGTTACGCTACCGTTTCGCTGTGCTCCTCGCATGCGCAGAGAGGTGTTTCAACATCCGGAACCTGGCGCTGGAAAAGGAAGTGTCTCAGGCTTACGACTTCTCTGCGTGCTTGTATCAGAAGGGAGCTCAGTAGTTTGGGTAGCCCCCTGTGCAATTATACGGACCATCCGTCTCTGCCACCCTCCACGTTAAGGTCCACGTCGCCGGCGGCTTCTCTATGGCGCCGGGGATTGCGCTGTTGTGCCGACCGGCCTAAACGTTCACCTCTCGCTTGCCACTCGATGTATGGCGCTTTGGGCAGTTCCTCCTCTCCTCTCCCAAATTGCTGCAGTGCTTCGGTTTGCACGGTCTCCGACCTATCGAAGAACTTGCGCTGGGCCAACCTCCTGCCTCTTTGTCTCTGCTTTGCCTGGGCTGCGATCCTCGTCCATGTTTCGCGGACGCCTGCCCTGGCCTTGTCTCTTGAAGCTTACGGTTTAGTGGCTAACGCCTTGACATGCCCTCGAGGTGCACCTCCGGCTTTCATGGGAACGTGCCAGGTTGAAGCACCGTACTTGATTGCTGCGTATATTTGTCTCGCACACGCGAACGTCACTCCCCACGTCTTTGCTACCAGCTTTGTCAGGGCGTACGTTTGTCTTGAGCTTCTTTTTTACCGCGTCGAGGTGTGGGCAGAATTGCAATTTGCTGTCCAACTAGACCCCCAAGAAGTTGGCTGACTCGACACGGGTGATGACGTTGTCGTCGAACATGATTGTGTCTTTTCTAGGCGACGATTAGCCATGTTTTTCATCACGGACGTGCTCTGTGCCATATTGACGAGCGAGTATGAAGCCCCTATGCTGAGATCTAGACTCAACTCTAGGATTGAAGATGGCTGGTCTTGGTAGGCAAGTCCCACAAACCGAGGGGCGATATTTAGGATCCCTGGTAGGAGTGCAGAGCTACGCTGCTTCAGCCAGGTGGATGTGATTAGCGTAAAAATGCTTTGCACTTCGAAATGCAGGACAAGATAGGACCTCTGTTCCTGTCCCAAAAACAATTCTTCTTGCTGATACAAAATTTTTGCGCATTTTCCAAAAGGAGGTCCATAAGACAGAAAATCAGCAGGTCACTGCTTATAAGGGACAAGAGACGCTCAGAGAAGAAGATGCTGCACATCTCGTCTCGACGAAACTTTAATGTGGCGCTGATTTTCTCTGTATCATATATACCGCTCGTGCTGTTGGGAAGGCGATGTGCAGTGGATTTATGTGGGCAAAAGACCCTAATGAAGGTAGGCTTGCAAACAGTCTGCTTGATGCTTGCGATCTTCGCTCTTCGGACGTGTTCGTTTCTGTTTGCATTCTAAAAACCCATTGAGCTTAACTAGCTCATAATTCTAAGCTCATAAAAAATCCCACATCTTTTCACTGTTCCTTGCAAACCCCTTAGCGTCTTGGCTCCAAGCTCGCCAGTGGCTGCTATGGCACCCAACCACCATTTACTCACCTTGTTTGAGATTACTGCTCTCGCTCAATTGCTAATTAACGAGGCATGGATTAGACAACTTTCAATGGCAGAATTGGCAACCGGAAGAAGGCAGGTAAGAAACTGATATGACGGCAGAGAGGCTCGATGGATGGCCTGCGCGGTTTCCTTCGTAGCCAGCTTTGCATCAGGTAAAGTAAAAGGAGGAGAGAGTCAGTGGGGCCATGAAATGTGATATGAGAACAATTGAAGAAGGTCATGAGTACGAAACAATGCATTGTTGCAGTTTAGCCAATCAGAACGACATGAACCATGAACAGTGTCCGGGGAGAGTAGATGAGGGAATATGCGACACATGAAGGTTACAATAGAATACGAGAGACGTTCAGAAAAAAAAGTGGCGTTGAAGTGCATCTATACTTGACCTAGGAGAGGTTTTCCGTAGCTTCAAAA